TACGCAAAAGGAAGTCAAACGGCAATGACTTAAATTTGGAAATTTGGTATTTCGGTAGTTTTGAAAGAGGTGCTTCAGTTGATAGAGGAAAAAATGTTCAATCAGTGTTCGTTTTTGTTACACCAAAAGCGCATACTCCACGGTAACTAAAAATTCAAGTTGGTGTTTTGTTGTTATTTTCATAATATTCTGTAAGTGCAAACTACATTGCGAAATGTTAATATCGTCAAACTATTAAAAAATAAAATATTTGACATACTTCTCAATTTTCGCTCCTAAACATCCTCCAAAAACCTTCCCAGCAACCACAAAAATGTAGTTGCCTGAGTACACACTTTGTAGCAACTGCAGCTGCCAGTTGCCATGTGTAATATCGTTTCGGCAACTAGCAACGCAACTGAAGTTCGGTTGCTATCGATGATCGACCCATAACACTAGTTTACAAATTTTCAGTTTCAAACGAGTACCTCGATAAAAAAAGTGCTTTCTATAGCACAATTTGGGGTCGCTGAAAACGAAAATGACACTCATTTATTTTTCACATGAAGTGTTTCCGCGATTTCCGCAAAAAACGTGTTTTTCGTGTCTTATTTCGGTGACAGGTAATAAGATCAACGGAAATAAGGTCAATTGACTTTATTTCCCACCCTGGTGCGAAATAAAATTTATTGACATTATTACCGTTTTAAAAACGAAATAAAATCCATTGACATTATTTCTCTTTCAAACATTAAATTTGCTTAGCTTCGCGGCGGCCCGCGTCAGCGCGCCACACGTCGCGCGCCCGCCCCACGTACCCCGCGCGACCGGCGCAGCCCACCACGTCCCGCGGCCCCCCGGCCCCCCCGCCCTCCCCTCCCGACTCCCGCCGTGCTGTAACGCAGGAAGATTTATTTTTTATATGTTGAAATAAAATTTTTATATATTTTGAACATCGAGGGCTTATATTCAATAATACCCTCTATCTGCACACTTTTCACAAAGATGAGATTCTGATATAAAAATCCACCTAAGCTTTAACTGTCATCAGTGATATTAATGGTACCTTATATAACGACAGGTAATAAGTCCCAGATGTTTTCTAAAATCACAAATTAGTTTTTTGTGCAAATTGCAGATAGAGGGTATTAATGAATTCAAGCTCTCGATATTTCACATTTTTATATTTGTAAGTTATTGGAAGCAGGGATGCCAACTTGGCTCAAACCGTGCCATTTGTCCCTATTTTACTTCAAATGGCACTTAATTTTTCAATTTGGCAAAATGGCACTTTTGTAAAAAAATAACATTTCAATACATTTTTGTGAAATCCTTTGCGTGCACTTCTTTTTCTCAACTAAAATTTTCTAATTTGTAAAGGCTATTCAACTGGTTTATCTTATTTTATCACTGCACTTTTGTTTGGAAAATATAGCTTTATTTTATTGCTAAATGTGAATGATTAAAAGGAATGACACCTTTTTTGCCACTTTTTTTTTCTTTTGGCACATGTTGGTACTTTTTTATCCTCAGTATGGCACCTCAGAACTAAGGATAGTTGGCAGCAATGATTGGAAGATTTCTGCTGTGTTTTGGGGCAACAACTTGTCTGCAGTAAAAAAGCATATAATTTGTGTTTCAAAAGTGTGTGAAAACCAATCAATTAACTTATATGATCTCGGTTCCGATATTAAATAATCAATAATTGTTTATACCCGCATTTTGGCACATTGGCTCGTTGAATGTGCCATCTAATAAATAATGTCGTCGTTCTCCTTAGCTGCTTTTAAAGGATGTCGTCACAAATTGCTGGCGAAGACATGAATACAGTGTAAGAAAATTCTTTTTCTATAATTGTTTCCTTATAGAAAGGTTGGTTTGTTTTCCACCTTAGACATTCCGAATTAGTTCAAAATATGGTAATTTAAAACACAGAATTCTTTCAGTGTTCCTCCGGGGTTTTTGGACATGGACTGTTTCTTCAATTTAATAGTGTTCGCTTTATTTTTGTGGAAACGAAACATGTTTTGCAAGTTATGGATCATTTCTACACTCTTTCTTCAAATATTTCTCGTATTCCAGCTCTACGCAGGCGTTTAGTTTTTCGCATCATGTTTTTACATATTCGTAATTTAAATTTTTTTAATAAAATCAATTGGTGGTAGTTCATGATTGTGTGTGGATTAATATCACAACACTGAGGATTTGGCAATAACCTTTTTCACCTATTAAAAAACAACACTTACGGGGCAATGTTTATTGTAAGAACAACATTTTTTTCTATGAATCGACATAGTTTGAGCATTGTTGACGCTATTTCCATTTGAATCAGGAAATAGCGTCAATGACTTTATTTTCAAATTTTTGTTGACTTTATTTCGCTTTTGAAAAGGTAATAATGTCAATTGACTTTATTTCGCACCAGGGTGGGAAATAAAGTCAGTTGACCTTATTTTCGTTGATCTTATTACCTGTCACCCTTATTACAGTTTTTTACCGAAACCTCCGAGGAAGTTGATGTTATGAAGCAATGATATACATTTTTAGAAAGGTACAGACCTCTTTACAGCAATATGTCGTTATTAGTAATCTAGTGATTATTACTTCCACAGCGGCCGTTCAAAATTAAAAAATTACCTTTTTGGAGCTTTTTTGGAAATTATTGAAATTTATCGACGTTTTACTATTGATTAAAAAGTTTTTTGTCCGATACATGAAATTTTTAGTTCAAAATAATTTTATAATAATCAAGTCTTTTCTTGATTGTCTAAATCGGACGAAAAATGTTGAAGTTATAACGTATTTTGCAAAATGATGCATATTCAGCTTCTGACTTTCAAATTTCCCATTTTTACACCTACACAGAAATAAATTATGAAGCAGGGCTGGGGTTGAATCCACATCCACGGAATGTTGCCAAAATGGTAAAAAACACAAAAAAAAAAGGTTATTTTGTGTTAATTTATATGCTGAATCAAAGTAAGCGTTGTATGGGGGAACAGAAATATCTCCAGTCGATAAAATGCGTTACAGCTTGACCGACATGGAACTTCCGATAATTTTCATGCCCCGTTAGGTAGTTGACAAACTTCATCGGATTTCGTTTCGTACTTTTGTTGGACAGTTGTTCCTTTTGTGTTCTCTCTTATTTTAGAATGAAGTTTTTGCTCTAAAGAAAAAGCCCAAAATGTGCAATCACTCACCGGATAAGTTTTGCTTTATTTGTGGTTTGTACATATTCAAACAAAGTGCTCGGAAAAAAAAACACAAACATATTAACTGCCTATGAACAATATTTTGGAATTCAAGCCAAGAATCCGGATAAACATTGGACTCCAAACTCTGTATTTGCCACATGTTTTGTACGATTAAGCGCATTTAAGCGCATAGAAACAAAAACGACAATTGACAATTCGATGAAAAACTTCAATGCCATTGGTGAGTGTGAAGTATTTTTAGGTTAAATGTATGTTTGTGAAAATCCATGCAATTTTCTTTTTGTGACTTATACCTAAATATCTTCAACGGTTATACCTTGCATGGATTAAAATAATTATTTTTAAAAAAAGCTATTTAATAATTTATAAAATATTTTATTACAGGTGCTCGAATGACTCTGAAAATGCACCTGCTCAATAGTCATTTGGACTTTTTTCCACCGAATTTGGGAGCTGAGAGCGACGAACAAGGCGAAATATTTCACCAGGACATTGCTACTATCGAAAAGCGGTATGAGGGTTTCTGAGATCAGGCCATGATGGGCGACTATTGTTGGATGTTATTTCGAGAAGACAGAATGGAACACAAACGAAGAAGTTTGACAGAAAAATCATATTTTCGACCTGAAGTGTGAAAATGTTAAAAACCTCGAATTGCTTGTCATAACTTCTACATTTCTTCTTCGATCGAAGCAATATTTAGCTTAAATTTTATGTGACAGAATTATCTTAAAATTGTTATCATATATATCTACGTTAAAAATTTGTATCTTATGAAAAAGTCAGTAAACCTCATTCATTTCCAAAAAAGCTCAAAAACTTAAAATTTTTTAACTTTGAATGGCTGCTGTGGAAGTAATAATCACTAGATTACCAATAATGGCATATTGCTGTAAAGAAGAGGTATGTACCTTTCTAAAAATGTATATCATTGTTTGTGAAAGACTGGAATAAGACACGAAAAACAGGTTTTCTGCAAAAATCGCAAAAACGCTTCTTGAGAAAAATAAATGAGTGTCATTTTCGTTTTCAGCGACCACAAATTAAGCTAGAAAGCACTTTTTATCGAGATACTTTTTTCGTGTAAACTAGTGTAATTCATAATAGGGAAGTTGATTAAAAATTTATTGCAAGATTCGATTACACACAGGTGAAACTTAATAAAAGCTGGTAAAAAAGCATATCTAGGACATATCAGAGGAAAGAAATATAAGGTACTGAAACTTTTAATACAAGGTAAAATCGATGGACTCAGAAAAACGGGAAGAAGAACAATTACGTGGCTGGATTATATAAAGAAATTGACGGTCCTAAATACGATTAAAGAAATAATGGGAAAACCGAAAGACCGGCGAGCTCGAAAGTAATAAAATAATATTTTAGCGCTTACACTTTTGCTATGTGTTGGGCCGAGCTTTTCTTTTATTTTGTAACGCGAATCTTGATTTTGTTATACAAATGTATGCCAAATCCGAACTGTTAGACAAATTTTACTAATAGAGTGGTAATACGCACCTCTATACACTCCGACACAGCGCCGAAGCACCATTGAATAAAATAAAACTCCTGACCTAAAAATGAATGAATGCAATCGGGAACATCCAGCCTAAGGATACGAAGCAGAAGAACCCGACTAAGAATATGCCATGTTCTTTGCATCACACCTTCTTTTAATATTAAATTTAAGATATTTGAGTAACTTTGTGAGCTAATTATTTGTATAACTAATATGCACCTAACTGATAATTAAATTCGCAGGTGCATTTCCTAGGAATGTATAAATACCTTAAAAATTTGCATTACCCGTTCAACTTTCGGCTTTCTGTCAGCCATAGAAAGGATGTCCTCAAAAAGCCCTTTTTGCTTTTTCTTCTTTGCGCTGGTTTCTTCAATGGTGCTAGAAACTGCAGTGAGGTCTGGATACTTAGCTGCTGAAGCAGCTGCAAACATATTAAGAGCATTCTGTGCATGCTTTCGAATACAGTCATCACTGCAATATATTGAATTTGGGCGTGCTACTTTTTTGCAAACAATACAGGAGGTTCGTTCATCATTTTGTGTTGATTGCGGTAGCGCAAACTTATGGGTGTCCTTCGGCATTTGCTGTGGGCTTTTCGTAGCTGTGATCGCCAAACATGACTTTGCAGCATCTATTTTATTCTTGAGATCGTGCTGCAAAACTGGAATTTGTCGCTTATTTTGAGAGACGGATGGATTCAACATCTTCTGTCTCGAATTCGCTGCCTGTGAACTGTTCTTCAATGTGGGGGTGACTGCTTTTGTTGTGCCTATCGATTTTTTCAATGACGCTTTTATATTTATTACTTGATCAGTTGATTTCTTCTCCTCACTTGCATCTTTTGTTTCCAACCGAATTGGATTTTCAAACAAGTTTGCTTCGACAGATGAAGGAGTAATGGCAGGTACAGCATCCAAACCTTTGATTCCAAGCTCCAATTGTTCGTGTTTAACACTGGTGACATTAGATGAAACCTTCTTAGGAACCAGCATGTCAGTAATTTTTCTTTGTTTCTAAAAAAATAGGTATATAAAATATAATCGTTAAACAAAAAATGTATTTGTCTTAATTCATAACATTATTGTGATCAGATACAGTTAGGGCTGCAAACCACTCCTAAAATGTATGTGGAACGGTTCATTGGTTCGAACCACTTAGGAAAACCTAACCGGTACAAAAACCGATTCATGGGTATCTCTGAACCCGAATCCGAAGCTGTCAACTATTATTTTCTTAAGGGAGAAGAGGGAAATAAAGTATAAAAACTCTCCCTTCTCACTCACTCGCTTAAGCGAAGTGTAAAATTTGGCATTTGCACAACAATTGTCTAATTATTTTCTTCTAACTTAAACTAACTCTATGGATTAGAGCATAGTCTAATCACGGCAACATTCAACTTCGGTTGAAGAATAATTTTGGCATGTCCCATTTCTGTTTTCCTTTTCACATCGTCCTTTACATGTACTCCCGAAAACAGAGACATTTGAAGTTTTATAAAGTGAATAAATTATATGAGCCTAGTTACCAAAACCCCTCGAAAATCACAACAAACCAACCAACCTACCAAAGCCTTATTTTAAGAAATGAAACTACCAATTTTGGTCCAATTGGACCGAAACAGCAACACTGTATTCAACATGCCTTGACCGTAAAAGCCTGATTATGGCAATTTAACTTAATTTAACGGAACGTAGAACTTAGAACTTAGAGAATCAAAATGAAACAGATTTCGACGTGGCATTAAGTTGCGTTAAGTTTCGGCTGTTCAATTATTAGCAACACCCATTTAACAGAATTTTGAAGAAAGAGCCGTAGC